GGGGGGGGGGGGGGGGGGGGGGGGGGGGGGGGGGGGGGGGGGGGGGGTCGACTCTCTATCGGCAGGTTTTCTGTTAAAGCATCATTGTTTCATTTTCTACTACTGGTTTTAATGGAGCCATGCTGTCTCTTGTTTTAGGCCCTTATTACATAAAGGTGTTGCACTGGTATTTATTCTGGGAGTTATCAAAGCAGGTGTATTTAAACTGGGATCATTTGACACAGATTGCCAACAGGAGGATCCTATTTACCTAATTATATCTTCTGAAGGTAAGGGTTGGGCTTTGAAGCGATACAGGTGAATACTTTGGCACACGTCTCAGTTTGGTATATTTACAAATTATTTTTCAACTTTTTAACTTCAATTATTTGAATAATTTTTTGCAGAATTGTTGCTTGTATAAAAAATAAATATATATTTTGGACTGTAAGAGAACAAAAGTTTAAAAAAAATACTCGGGTGGGCATGGGGTGGGGAGACTGGGGTGTTTCACACAAAACTTCAGATGCACCACTGGTGAAATAACCGTGGATATGTGTGAAGCCCCATGCCAACTTCACAGCTGGTGTATACACAAATTAATGGAAGTAGAAGTACTTGTATGTTGAGCATTAGTCTTGAAAATATCGTTAATCAATAATTACCAAATACAGAGATGTCTTGGTCTTTTGGGCTTTCTCCTCAGATACATCACTGCCCCCTGGAGGGAGCTCCGGCTTTGGTCCAAGTTCCTATAAATAAGCACAGTTATGCTGTTGACATATTTTCCAAGGATTCTCTTGAACAAGAAAAAAGACCATGCCAAATGTTTTCTGCTTAAAGTTAGAAAGTAAGAAGCTCACTTTAATGACAGCATCTGGTTCAGAACCTTCTTCAATCATGTGCACCTTGGCACGCCCTTTTCGCTCATTATCACGGATATCGTTGGCCATCTGAGTGGTTTTGAGGCGCTCATAGCGATTGCTTTCACTGCCAGACCAATGGTAGATGTCCTGTTGTTTTAACAAAAACAGAAGATTAAAAAGTTGTAGGGATTTCATTTCAGCATCCAGTTTTTCTTCAGGGTTACCTTTCCCAAGTCAATGATGAAGCAGTCGCCCTTGTTGAAGCTGCCCCAGCACAGGTCCACCTCTACGCCTTTGATTGAACGGCGGCCTTTAACATGCAGCAGACGCTTCACATTCATGTCATTGGTCACCACATGTTGAAAGCCAGAGGCTACTCCACCTTTCTGTAAAATAAATAAAAATTCCATCAATTACAAATGCATATATTTTAAAAAAAAAAGGACAATAAATACTAATTACAACAAGACTTTTGCATACTTGCACGCCTGTCTGTAAACTATTACACAGAAATACAACAATCTGTGGAAATGGTCTGGACAAGTTGTATAATCTTTGACATTGGTTTGTGTTCTTGACCTTGAAGCTAGGATGATGAAAAGTGTATGCACTACTCTGTTCAGTGATGATGCAAATGTGTATGAAGTTTCATTAAATCATCATGAGCTGATTAGATGTTGGAGACTATGCCGTTATACATCCGCCTTTTGACAGGTGTGCAAAAAGCCTAATAAAAAACAGACCAACGTGCCGAAGTCAATGAACTCAAATCAACTTTTTAAATTGAAAAAAGGTGTTTTTTACAAAAATCCCTTTTTAGAACTATTGCATTTTTACAAGTATCTTAATGAATTTCCTGAAAGTTGTAAGGACGTTGCAGTGCAAGTGTATGCAGACGATGCTATAGTATATAGTAAAAACTAAAACAAGCTTCAAGGCTTTACAGTGGTTTACAACTATTTGTTGTCCTTTAATTGCCCCAAAACCTTGTCAGTGACTTTTACAATAAGACATATAAAGTGTGTCATTGATTTACTGTTAAAATTGGGCCGAGATGGTATAGAGACAGTGCAGCCTACTCGGGGTCGGAAAGTCCCAGGTTCGATCCCCAGTCATTGCACATCTCCTGGTGTCTCTGAGCAGCACACCCTATCCCCAAATGCTTCCCAGTCAATTACAATAGCTGCCCACTGCACCATCTGGTGGTGGACGGGTTAAATGCAGTGAGACAATTTCACCATTGTATGGGAACATACAATGGTGAAATACATAACACATTATTATTATTATTAAATGATTAAATGAAACCCAAAAATTAGATAAGTTCAAATATGTGGGTATTGTTTGTCCATCCATTCATTTTAAACACAAATGTTGCACCATCAGTTTGCACTCAGTTTAAACTGGGATCAAGCTCAGATATTAACACCAAATTTTAGCTGTTCCTGTAAATCTGACCGAGTTGTAGCTATTTTGATGTTTGCTATGGTTGCTTTGCTGTTGTGGCCATCTTGAGTCACATTTACAGCAATGGTTTATTAAAGACAAAGATTATAAACGCAGCAAAGGGCTCTAGATGCTTCTCCCAAAGGTTCTGCAAGAAGAACCCCAGTTCCTTATTCTCCAAGTGTAGAGGGAGCCTCCTTATCTGATCGGTGGACATCTGCAGTTCCTCATACTTATCTCTTCCATGGGCTGAGAAGTACACTTGCTTTTTAATTGGCCTCAGTTGTAAACTCAGTCACAACTACTTCTGCAAACTATGCCAAATTTAGAAATGTAACAGGTAGCTAGGCCCTCATCCTTTTCCTGCTTCACTGGCAGTAAGCAGGAGGAAGTGATGAATCTCGAGGAGTTACAAAGATGTCATTTGGACAGGCTTTTTCAAAACATGTTGAGCAAACATAACGTATAGTAGTCTTAGCTTCTCTAGTTTGATGGTTTTATACTGCAGATTTTAGATTTAAGACCTTTAGGATTACGTTAATTACCCACAATACCTAACAAATCATTTTAAATTGTGCAAACCGTCATGGTTAACAGAAGGTTCCTGTCTTCATGTTTATGGAAAAAGTAACATTTAAAGTAGAATAAAACTTTCACCTCCAACTCTTCAATCTTTCTGTGGTCTTTCCTGACTCTTTGAATGGCTGGAATTTTGTCAAAAACACTAAATTTCCTGGAAAAAAGGGTTACATTTTGGAAAGTTGGTCACACTTACTGACAATTTAGAGATACCAGTTAGTCTTACATGCACGGTGGTTAAGTTGATAGAACTGCTGCTTCTCAGTGAGAAGGTCGCCGGATCAAATCCCAGCCGGGGTGACCTTTCTGGGTGGAGTTTGCATGTTCTCTCCGTGCATGCATGGGTTTTCTTCAGGTACTTTCCTCCCACAGACCAAAAACATGCATGTTAGGCTGATTGGTAACTCTAAATTGTCCCTAGGTGTGAGTGAGTGAGTGAGTGAGTGAGTGAGTGAGTGAGTGAGTGAGTG